GATAATAATTTGAATGTTTAAAAAATCAATTATTTAAAAAAAATAAAGAAAAATTTAAATCTAAAAAAATAATACAAATTTGAAGACTATCAAGAGATTTGTGTATGGAAAAACTTGTTTTCCTAATATCCAGCTATTTTTATAGGAAAAAGCTGGTTGTTTGGAGAATTAGCTGAAATGTATAAACAACTTTTTTTTTTTTTTTTAGAAAGTTATTTTTATGAAACGAAAAATTTGAAATTTACAATCATTTTTTTAAGCTAATTTACTACATAAAAATTAATTTTTATTATAGTTAAATAAAATTAAATATCTTAAAATCACCTATCAGTAAATTTATCTCAATAAAATTTTATTTTAGTTATAATTGATTATAAAAATAATTAATTAATAAAATAATTTAATTTTCACTATTTTTTCAAACACATCCTCACAAACTTTGCATCGTCAAAATCTGAGTTTTTTACGCAAATAATACTATTTTTTTATAAAAAAATACCTAAATAGCAACTTGTCAAATTTATTTTCCCAACTAGCATATTTACTGTTCAGGTTCAGAACAGACCGTTCTGAAATCAGAACGGACCGTTCCAGATTAAAAAATAACACATGACTAATGGATCAGATTAAAAAATAACATCATGACAAAATCAATTTTTATCCTTGCATTGCCTAACAACTCAAAAATATCATAACGCCATACATATCCCTTAAACAACTGTCAAAGAAAATGATACCTAGAGAGTTATACTCATCCAAATGATCTCAAACCTATCTCAAAAGAAAGCTAAGAGAATAAGCTACAATTCTTATGGAGACATGAGATTCTAAAAAGATCATATTCTTAGCTAAAAAATTCAAAAACCACCACAGATATATTCAGCGCTTACAGCTAGACCTTTCATCACCAAAGTAGCTATAACTGAAGTTCTAGACCTCTGTTTTACCTGATTCTAGTTCCATTGGAAAGATGATGTCCAAGACTACAACTTTTGTGAAGATCATAAAATCTAATTCAGTCAATATAGCACCTGTACTGGCACAACAAAACTGCAGTGCAAAACATCCCCTACATCAAATAGCAATAGTGTATCAACATCTAAGGCCACGAAAATACCTCAATCCTTCAAAACTCACACCTCAAATTCATATTCAAGCTTCTCACTACAATCCTAAACCAAAACAACTCATATATTTAGCACAACAGACTTAGAAAATAAAACTCACATGCTACCTAAACCATAAAAGGTTAACACGTAAGCACCAACACTCAAGGAAAATACCAACATTTCAATCTCTCATCAATAATACCAAAACTCCAATTCTCAAGATACAACCTCCTTGGATTCAATCGCTACAACTATAGATTCTAGAAAATCCATCAACCATAAACTCTCAATACACTCGACAAATCAATGTCTCACCCGAATCTAAGGTCCCAATAGTTTCTAGTTGATTAGCACAATATCTCGTCTACCACTACTAGCACATAAGCTTGCAACACAAGCGATATCACTCATCCACTACTTCTTACATAAGCAAGAAGTATCAAACAATCAAGCGCTCATAAGATTGAAGAAGAGCAGTCATAATGATATTAGCTAACACTATCTATCATTGCTCTGATTGCACTATAATCTAACAGTATAAAACTCAACAATATCAACACAAGGAGAACATCATCATCATCATTATCAAAGCAAAGCATCATCAAAGTACACAACAAACAAAACATGGTCAGAGTACACAACAGAATCATGATAAGTCCATAACTCCCAGCCGATTGGATCGACCTGCTCTGATACCACTAAATGTGACACCCTCTACCCCTCGTACCATAACACATAATAATAAAATTTGAATAACATAACATTTCATAATTAAAATATCAAACATGTTTAGATAGAAAGTACCACATCCATAACTTAACAAAATCAGTGAAAATTACAAAGAAAAAAAAAACTAAAGTTTCCAAAATAATTTAATGAGTGAAACATCCTAATCTAATCCTATATACGCCCCGATGTCACATGTCCTATCAGAGCAAAGCCCAACTCTGAAGTCGAAGCTTCATCACCTACATCTTCAGCCTCATGTTGATAATCACCTGTATAACGGTCAAAGGGAAACAACAAAAAGAAAAAGGAGTGAGAAACATCTCACTCTGGCTCACAGTGTAGAAATACACACCGGATAACCAAACACAAACAAGACAAGTATAGCATAGATATAATAACAACAATATTACATCTCACTCATCCAAGACATAAAAATATCAATTTATCATCTAACATTAAAAATGCACATGTATGGACACGGACTACAGATTATCATGCATGTGGCGCCAATAAAACATCACATGGCATATTGTCGCTAGCAATACACGAAGAGTGGTCTAAGAGTACGTGTCGGGTCACACGCTCTGCCCCCTCTCACGAGAAGGACATACTACCAGGGTCTCTTCGGGATAGCTAAGCCGCGCAAGATACATCTCATGCACACAATAGGCGAGACTGGGACTTCTAAATCGAGCTATCCCCAAGGACTAATTCCCAAAACTTTTACACTAGGGGGCCTTACCTAGCGATGTATTCCATATCGTACCCATAAAAATATTTATGCAAATGATGCATGTCAATTAAGACTCTATGCATTTTCATATAACATTGTCATGTCTCATTATTATATCACATCATCATGTCTCATTATCACTTTTCACATCATCTCATCGTATCATCATATCTCATCATCATATTACATCATCATATCACATTACCACATAGCTTCATATCTCATGTCTCAATCACATTTCACATTACATCATCATATCACATTATCACATTATCTCATCATATTCATATAGTCTCCACAGAGCACTTTAATTTATATCAAAACTCGTCTATTTGTAAAATTAAATACATATTTGTACATCTCATCCAACAAGGAATACAACAGAATAATCAGAAATCAAAACAGAAAATATTCATATGTTGCCTATTTCTCATAGGGTTTCCCGCAAGAACTCATTGAGTAATCTAAATCATATCAAAACATATTTATTCTCAAAATTAATCACATATTTAAACATTACATTCAACAAGATAGAGCAATCAGAAAACAAAACAAAAAATATTCATATTTTGTTTGTTTCTCATAGGGTTCTCTCAAGAACCCATCTCAAATCATACAATTATCTACATATAAGAAAAGTAAAAGAAGAAAAATATATAATTGGGGAAAACCCCTCATACATGAGCATACAACAAACATAGGATTGGGGGTCAATCCCACTACCCAACATATATTCCCACACTCAAAGCGAGGTTTTTCACTCCCCCTCTTACCTTGATAAGCAGGAGCTGAAACTAAAGCTTGGTCTCCTCCTCTGGGTTCCCCCTTGGTCTTCAAAGAGTGTAGAAGAAAAAGAGGTGAAAAGTGAAAAATGTGCTTTTGGAGTGATAGAGTGTTCTATTTATAGGCATTAGTAGTTGCCAAAACGGCCCGTTTCAAATCCGGAACGACCCGTTCTGGACTCATATTTCATGTCCAAAATTCACATTTGGAACGGCCCGTTCCAGAATCTGAATGACCCATTCTGGATGTGAGTTTCAACTCACAACGGCCACATTTGGAACGGCTCGTTCCCAAATTGGAACGGCCCGTTCTGGGTTCGAAGTTTACTCAGTGAATCATGTGTTGGAACGGTCCGTTCCAACCTAATCTTTCTAGGCCATTTTAGTAGTCTGGAACGGCCCATTTCAATTTGAGAACGACCCGTTCTATGCTACTAAAAATCAAAATATTACAAAATAATTTTCATAAATATTTATTGTTAAAATAGTCATAATTATTAAAAACCTTTAAAACATTCTATAAAATCCATTAAAATAGCTATAAGAAAATAATCTCCATAAATATAAACTAAATAATAAATAATCGTTATACTAGTAGAAAATTCGGGATGTTACAACCTTACTGTAAATCTCCCAGTGGGTCATGCGAGCAAGGGATATGAACTTTTTGGAACTTGTCGCAATCATACCACATTTTATTTAGCCTTACTATAAATTTCCTAGCGGGTCATACGAGTAAGGGATATGAGCTTTCTAGAACTTGCCGCAATCATACCACATTTCATTTAGCCTTACTATCTCCCAGCAGGTCAAACTTCTCTCAGATGTTGCGTTTCTTCTAACTTTGTGGCCAAATCCAGAACTCAAGAGAACTTTCAAGAGTCGACCAAAGTCCAGCAGGATTATTAGAACAAAGATGGACATTAGAGAACAACATAATCGTGTAAAAAATTATTCTTATTGTTACACCCCTGGTCACACTAGGAAGACATATCCAAATATTGGTCATGAATTAAGTTTCCGCCACCATTGACTTTTATTGTTGTAATGAAATTTAATAAATTTATTTAGGTATACTTATAATGTTAATATTCAATAAATTTAATCACTTGATGGTAGTCTCTGAGTTTTGCTATTTGATAAATGAAAATCGAAAAAAAAATGGTCTTAATCTGTAGGTCAGAACGGCCCGTTCCGAATTCAGAACAGCCCGTTCTGGTTTCACTTTTTGTGTGCTAATTTTGAATTTGGAAAGGTCCGTTCTGATCCATTCTCCATGTGTTATTTTTTTAATCTAGAACGGCCCGTTTTAAACGTGAATAATAAATGGTGCTATGTGAAAAAATAAATTTCTACCGTTACTATTTGGATAAATTTTTTTTAAAATAGTATTATTTGAATAAAAAATTCTCAAAATCTCCACGTGGCCATGCAACACATGGTTCTCAGTTCTCATCCACACAGAAATATCAATCTTCAAGCAATCATGTCCCTTCATTTTTTAATTAATTTATACTACACGTCATAAATCAACCGTAATGAAATTTAGGCATCATATGTCATATATAAATTCCATAATTCAATGTTATATCACGTTCACGTGGCATCAAATTTAACCACTAACCACACCATGATTTTATTTATTTATTTAAGGAAAGCCCTTAACCCGGTGCTATGAATTGGAGTGGCCAACGTATGCAGAATGGCTTCTCGTAGTTTGAGTTTACCAACAGCACATATTCCTTCGAGCAGGTTAATTCAGAAGTTCGAAAATTCCAAGGTTTTGTTGTGGCCTTCACGTGCTCATACCAACCCCACGAGAATTTCTTCCTCAATTCGGGCAATGGGTTCCTCTGCTTCTTCCCAGTCACAACATGCAGACAGCATTGAATCTGAAGCAGGTAAGTGGGTTCTCCTCAATTTTCCTTTCCTTTGCGGATTGCACTTGTTCTGCTCAATTTAGAAAAGGATGAACATGTGATTACTTGGTGAAATTAAGAATTTTAGTTTTGTAGGGATACGATGTTAATTGAAATAAGACAGATGTTAGCATTTAATTGATTGAAATTTATTGAAAATTATAAATTTTGTGACTCTCATTTTATGTAATGAGTATCTCCTACTTTAGAGATAGGATACATATCCATCAAAATTTGATGTAATAGTAAGGAGAGTGTTATGTTAGTAACTGATTTGGTCATAGTCACTAAATTTGTGAGTCTCAAACAACAATAGGGATAGTTTTAGTAAGAGAGTAATTGAGAGAGGAAGTCTGTAAAAATGAAGCAATATTGATCACTCTAAATGCAATAATACTTGCTAGCTATGTTGTGTGGAATCTGGATATATAGTCCTAAAAAATGAAAATTAAAGCTACGTTTTTTATTTTATTTTTTTATTTTTTTAATTCAGTTGACTGTGTGAGACAATTTGGTTGGGTATACCCGTCCATGTTGAAGGGTGTTTGTTTTCTCTAGTTTAAGATCATAACCACCATTTAGATTTTATTTTTCTTCCATGGGTATGATTTACACATTGTCCCAAGACTGATATAATAAGGATTAGTTAGCAGTTGTGAGACTTTGCTTTCCCACGTCAAACATTATTTTAACACAAATAAAAAACAAACCTAAGAGATTAGGTTGACTCCCTTAATTCCAGAGTAGACCATTAGATACCCTTTTCATCTATATATTTTTATGAACTTTACCGTTCATGTAGTAAAGAAAACGTTTTATTTTAGTTCTTATAGATACTGTTTTTTTCCTTGTCTGGCATATATTGTTACATAACCAAACAATAAAGTTTATGAAACTATATAAAAACTAAAAGAAAACAAAAATGGTATACATATAGAAATTAAAATGAAATGATTTTAATTATAGAGACTAAAATGTAAAATTCATGATACTATAGAGATCAAAAGGTTAATAATTATTGTGATTGGTCCTAACAGTCTCTTTCTGAGCCTTGCAGGAACTGGTACTATTGACTATAAATCTTTAAGCGATGAAGAGTGGAAGAAGCGTCTAACAAATGAACAATTCTATATTACTCGTCAAAAGGGAACTGAAAGAGCTTTCACTGGGTATGTTATTCAGCTACTATTAGGATATAAGGACAGTAAGCTTCCAAGTGATGCCTAGTTGTTCATAGAGACATTTTGCAAATTGCTTTGTAAGATTCAAAATCAGTTTGATAGACCTTTTGTTTTCACATACTTATTACTCTGAATTACCCGATTTCTGTTTATTTTTTAGGCAAATTTAGTTAATTGTGGTTTGTTTTCTATGTTCTGCTAAACAATCTTATTTTACAGGAAAGAACATAATGTTACATGATTGTTAAAGAAATTTAGGTTCTTTTGGTCTGAATCAGCTTTCTAGTACCCAGTTCCCATCAATTTGCTTCGCATTATATCTCATTGTTCTCATGTGATACAAAATGTGAGAGATGTCACATTCAAGAGCTGTTACTCATGTTTTCATGTGTGGTAAATGCTTCATTAAAATGATACTAAGAGTCTGTTGGAAAACAGATTTAGAAGAGATTTTGAATGCTTCTTTACTAAAAAATGTTCTTTAATTTTAGTAGAAAAATTCTCAAAAATATTTATAAATTTGTATTCAAACAGACTTTAAGTTAAATGCGTATCATCAATTGTGGTTGTTCACTGTTCAGAATTAGATATGACATAACCGTTTCTTGCTTCTCTTAGTGGTGTATAAGATTTATTCATTTATTGCTAAGCAGTGTGTCATTTTGTACCACTGATGCCGAATCATTTGTAAACATTTATATCTGTTTAGTGTACATGTCTTTGATATCTGTTATCTATGGTTCTGAACAAGGTTAAGGAAGTAAAATTCTACATAGTCTCGTCCCTGACAAAGTCATAATTATTTGACACAAGATTGATTGTACTACAAGGAATAGTCTCTCTAACCTGACCCAAAACCTAAGAGATTGTGTTTGCTGCTGTTTTGTAAATATATCATTACATGTTTTTCTCCCATGGCTTTGTTTATTTTCAGGCATCACCATTATTTTTAATTATTTTTTCTCTGAAGTCTGAACTAAATTTCTAGTCATCAGAGATTGTCTACAGATTTGATGGAGAAGGACAGATGGTTAGATGTATAGCTAAAATTTTATTCTTTTAATTCATTTTAGGGAGTACTGGAATACTAAAACCCAAGGGACATACCATTGCATATGTTGTGACACACCTTTATTTGAGTAAGTGCTACTTATATATCAATATATGTATATATTCTAATGTAATTTTCTAACAATGAGGTATCTTAATCTTGTTCACTCTCTCTTTTCCAGATCATCTACTAAGTTCAATAGTGGAACAGGGTGGCCATCCTATTACCAACCTATTGGGAACAATGTGAAGTCAAAGTTGGATTTGTCAATTATTTTCATGCCCCGTCAGGAAGTTCTTTGTGCTGTTTGTGATGCTCATCTTGGACATGTGTTTGACGATGGTCCTCCACCCACAGGAAAGCGTTTCTGTATCAATAGGTAAATAATCACTTTGGATTTATTCGATTAAACTTTTTCAGAAGCACTTCGATCTGGAGAGAAAAATAAGAAGAAAGAATGAAATAAATTTTTCTATAAGCTAAATTTAGCTTATGCATAAGCTAATTTGTAGAAACCCTCTCCTGTTAGCTTTTCAAAATCTTATGTTTTCCTTGTGTGTAAGTTAGTTTTATCTTGTGAAAAAGTTTATTTCAATTTTTCTTCTCAGTTTTTCCTTCTTCTGGAAGTGCTTCTGAATAAGTATATCCAAACAGGACATATGTCTCCTTTTCAATCTTAAATTTTCACCTTAGTCCAAGAGTTTATGTTTTTGTGCTTGAATTCCTGCAGCGCTGCCCTTAAGCTCAAACCAAGGCAGTAGATAGTGAAATAACTGTCACTCAGAAGCAGATGGTATAACATATTTGATGGAGACCATTGAGAAGCTTGAAAATAATCTACATGTCATATACTTTGTGCTTTTTTTCTTACATTGGGAGAAAATTGTCCTGAACTGGTGATGCATAAAATACATAAAATGTCTAGAATCTAAAAGCACAACTACTGTACTAAACACTGAAATTTTCATATTAATGAACTTCTTGAAGTGTCAGCATGTACAATTACCAATTTACCGTTGTTTTCTTACTGTTTAAGCTTTTAAACCAACCAGTACAATTTGTTATATAGTTTGCAATTTGATTCTTGATTTTACCCATTTTGAGTTTTACTTGTTTTCTAGGATATGGTGTTCACTTAAATTAAAAGAAACTTAATATAATCATTAACGAATGACAAAACTATCATTTAGCAGTACATGAAATGATGAAACCCATACCATATGAAAGAAAGATGATTTTGGGAGGAAAATGTTAGTAGTTCTAGAATATGTTAGCGATATATAGACTACAATAAAGTCTGGTAAGTTGTATGACTCTGATTGTTAGGTTGGTTAGCATACTAAGCTGGCTGAAGCAAATGATTTGGTTGTGATTAGCTCCTCAAACACTTTGTTTGCTCTTTTTTATGCATGAGTTTACTTAAGGTCTCTTCAAACAAAAATTTTGTATTAATATTTATATAAGTTTTTCAAGATCAATAATTTAAAAGTCATTTTTGTATTTTTGAAAGTTCACTCTTTTTTTTTTTTGTTTTTGTACTCTAAGGAAAGAAAAATTAAAAGCCCACCTTAAAAAGCCTATCTACAAAAGATATATAATTATAATTATTTTTTTCAAGACGAATATTTATAATATTTTTATTTTTTATTAAAAAATGTTATTATTAATTTTTTTTTTAAAAAGCCACATTAAGATTTATTGTAAACCTAACCATGTGCTGAGTTGGCCTTGAGTTTACCTCTTACTTTCTCTCCTTATCTCACTTTCCAATCATCGGAATCATAACATGATATTTCATATGAACCTTATATTTTAAACCCTTGAGGAGTTATCATTGAGGGTATCGTTGTTTCTAGTACAAAAACTCTTATAAAAAATGGAGAATGACCTACTTTTGAGTGTGATTTAAACTAGAGCTGTTAAAATGGGTCAGTCTGACTTGTTTGATTCAGCCCACTTCAACTCACTTTTTAAGTGGGTTGACTCGGCCTGACTCACCAAATTTATTATATAAATTTTTCTAGCCCGGCCCGGCCCATCACGGGTTGGTGGACTAAACGGGTCGGCCCACCAACCCACTTAATTTTAAAAAAAAATTATAATTTAAAATAAATTTTAATATAAAATAATCTCTAATCTAAAGTAAAAATTATCAAACTAAGTATCATGGATACAATATTAAACTTAAATTAAAAAGTGTACGATTTTAAACAATAAAAAAAAAAATTCATTCATGAGAGTGATTATTCATCAATATTAAATTTTATTGGAGGTAGGGATGACAAAAATACCCGCACCTGCGGGTATCTGCGGGTAAAATCCGCGCTACGGATAATAAATGGATAGACTAATTTGGTACCCGCAGATAATGGGAACGAATAATTTTTTACCCGTTTATAAATGGGGTGGGGGAGGGTATGATGATATCCATACCCGCGGGTACCCGTTTAATAATATTTCTTAAATATCCTAATTATCCTTGTACCACATAACCTTAAAATTACACTCTCTCTTCTTATTTTCTTACAAAAGTGAGGTTATGAAGTTACCAACATGTGTTAAGCATGTTATAGAATTATGTTGGATGTAATTTGATTAATTTTCTAGCTTTGATTGAACCAATAAATTTTGATGTATTTTAAGTTGTTTACTTTCGTTTGAAATTATGAGATTGAATTATTGTAACTTTGTGATGAGACTTTAACTTACTTGTGAGATTGATGTATTTCAAATTATTGATTATCTTGCATTATTATTATTATTTCAACAAAATTAACGTTAAATACAAGTTCAAAATTAACATTAATTTTTTATTTTTTAATATTTCAATGACATTAAATATAAACTTAAAATTATTTATAATATAATTTTTTTAATTTCTTACAAAATTTATAAATATTCATAGATATCCACGGATATCCGTGGGTATTCAAGAAATTCATGGATACCCGCGCGGATATGGGGTGGGTACGAGGCTAATTTTTATCTAGCGGGGCGGGGCGGGTTTACTATTACCCGCCCCCATGGGGCCCCATTGTCATCCCTAATTGGAGGTTTAGGTAGATAAATTTATAGAAATTTCATATTTTTTAACATTAATTTTATATTTATCTATAAAAAAAATATCTTATTAAAATAATACATATATAATACTAAATAGTTAAATGAGTGGTTAGTAGGTTGTTAATGGGTTGTTAGTGGGTTAGATTGATGGGTTGATAAGTGGGTCAGGTGGGCAGCCCGGCCCACCACGGGTTCAACCCGGGTGGGCCAGGTCGAAAGTGGGTCGGGTCACATTTTTTTATCCATCATAATTTTTTTCATTTTTTTAGCCCAGCCTGGCCCGTTTTCAAGGTGGGCCAGACTGACCCACGGGCTGGACCCTACTTTGACAACTCTAATTTAAAATATTTATTCACATAACATAATCAATTATGTTTATAGTGAAACATAGAAATCGTTACTTATCCAAGGATATAACAGAAAATTAAAGGGTAATGGTAGTAAGTGATTGAGTTTAGTAGTTCCTCATAAAAGTAGTGGGGCTTGAACTATTTATTTATTTAATTGGAAGTAACTAAATATGAAACCTAATGAGTAATGGTCGCAAGTTAGTTCCTCATATTATTCCTCTCATGTGCACGAGTCCAACATTCTTTACTTATCCTTTAGAAAGTGTTAAGAGCACTTTGATATATAAAGGCTCAAAATTTGAGTTGTCCAAACTATATAAGACTTTTTCTTTTGAAATAACATGCATATATGCAACAAAAACCACACCACCAAAACTAGTTGACAGTAGTTAGAGATCCCTTTGTCGTGTTGTAGCCCTTTAACTATTCTTAGTTGCAGTGTTAGTGTACTACCTACATAGAACGTTGCCATTGAAATACATGATGGAAGGACATGGTGGAAGTTTTGTTACTAATTTATAAGAACCTTAAAAGAAGTTAAATAATCGCACCATAAAAGCTAGTGAGTGGAAAGTTCATAATCTTATAAACTCCATAAATAGAATCTCACACTTTTAATATATAACTCAAGTCAACAATACAATCTCATACTTTATATACCTGTCTAGGGATAAAACAATGTGCTTCCTTCTTTGGTGTCTTCACAATTCCTTACTCTCCAAACCAATCTTTCTCGATACAATAAATGTAAGAATAATAAACTATAAACTTGTACCTCAATATACATTACTATTTATATTAATCGAATGAGCTCAAGACTAATGAGCTTCTATCTAAGATTATCCATTAGATAGTATGCTTCTTAATCCATGTTTTACAATGGTTAGGCATAATCATCTCTTTCATCCTTAATGGTTATTCATGTAGTTGTTCAGCCTCCTCGAATCTTAAAAGGTTTTGATGGCCAAAGATGGAAAATGACTTGGACCATATTGTTTATAGATCCAGGTAGTCGAGAGCCTAAATATTTATCGATCGTGACTTGGACCTATAGGGCTTTAGAAATCTAAGAGTACCAATGACCACTGCTCATATCGGTTTTCCCCAAGCCTCGAAGAAAGAAAAGATGAACGAGACTTTATTACAATCGAAGGGGTTCCTTCTTAGAGAGTACTTCGATTCATGAGGGGTATTAACGAAAAGGGGCTGATCAAACAAAGTTTGGAGAATTATCATTAATTTTATGAGAATAATAACCTATATTGGTATGTAGAAAGAAAAAACCCTTATAAGAGTTTATGTTCAAAAGAACTTGGTCATAGAGGTGTCAAAATAATTGGTCCAACCACAATTTAAGTTCATAGAAAACCAATTAAACTTGATGAATTAACCTAATTAGTCCAATATAACATGAATTCAGCCAATAAAATTCAAGTTCAAAATTATTTTAGCCCAACCCAACATAGCACAAAAAAAAATACATGGGCTAATATGTGGTGGCTAAGCCAATATGACCCACCATTTAAAAAAAATCATCTTAGATTAATGTCTTATCATTTAGTCTCTTTCTCTATATATAATATTTTTTTTATTAGTTTGAGATTTATTAATTTTAATATCATTGTTGTAATTTTTTTTAAATAGATAAAAAAAAAATCTTTCTTTCTATGGATGCTATATCTAAAAAGTATTGTTTGCAAAACTCTTTGAAGTTGTGAGTCTACTATGTGGCTGCAAGTATGACTTTGTGATGCCTATCCTAATAAAGTGAAAGTAGACAACTCATGTAAATTTTTATTTCTTTAGTTATATCTTGTTAAACCAAAGACAAAATATGCCTCTAGCATTTCAATTTTGATGATAACAAAGTCATAATCTTGATGGACTAACAATCTCTCTTAATCATTACAAGAACCATGTTTCCAAAGCATAAAAGAAATGGAGATGAAACGTTTTATTAATAAGACCATCTTTTATCAATTATGTAAAAATTGAAGAAGTGTAACACTAAGTTATAACATTAGTCAACGTCTACATCCAATGGCAAACATGTTAGACTAGCATCTACATCCTTTAGTGTACATAAGCCAATGTTTGTAGAAATGTTTTTGCGCTTAATTCAACCTTAAGACAAAAAAAATAATCTTTGATAAGTGTTATCATAATATATATAAGTTATAAATGTATATATGCTTTATTTTCTTTTTTGTGTATGCACATAGAATGGTACAATAATGCAGTCCTAACACAATGTACAAGAAATAAAAGTTAGCTACAAAAGGAATTTATCAGTACCAATAGAAGTATGTTAAGCCAAGTCTACTTTGCATCATTCCTTATCCATGCTAAAGGCTTTATGGCTCTAAACCATGAAGCACAATGACCATATTCAATCGATGCATTTATTAAAGTCAGAATGACCCTCTAAAAGGCTCTCACAACTCAACAAATATATTGAATAAGCATATAAATATGAAAAGAATTGAAGAGAAGAGAAGACCTTTGTAAGCCTTGTAGATATTAACTTACTCTTCGTTGTGCCAAAACTCTAATCATTTTGCTCTTCAAGGTCTTGTAATCTTTGTCTAGTGGACGATATTTGAGACAAA